TAAAAAAAAAAAACCATAAATTTCATGGACCCCAACCGTTCCATTCCTTGGTAGAAACCCCTGAGATGACATGCATGAGGGTTTTGTGACATTACTTGAGGTGACAAAGGTCAAGTCTTTGGGACTGTGGATAGACAAAGTGTAGTGGCCACTCCTGGAGCCCTGTAGCTACACTGCTGAGTGCAAAAGGTAAGAAAGAGAATGAGAGATGAGTTAGGTAACTCTAAACATATACATACAAACAACAACACACATTCTGTAAGAACACAACAAACAGAAAAATATACGTTAAACATAAACCAGTAGTTGCCTAGGACAGCAGGAAAGAGGTAATGGGGTTTAAAAGATGAACGAATAAAGGGAGGGCCTTGCTCTGATCAGCGATGATAACGTGTCATGAGCACAGGAGGGTGGTTAATTCCACTTTCTGCCCTTGAGAATCTCAAACCACAAACAGCCCACCAACAACAACTTCTAAAAACTTAAGTTCTGGCCTAGAACAGGCACTAGTGCCCTCCTTTATATGTATTCTGTCTTCAATCTGATTAAAAGATTGCATATTCCGGAGAGCAACTGATGCCGTGCTCGGTGGGCTGCCATGCCTGGAAGCCGTGGTGTGTTCAGTTAACACAGAATGGGTGGAGTTTGGCAGAGGCCAGCTGCTCCTCTGCCTTTTTGCGTATCTGCAGCTCCTACCACAGAGCCTGGCAAAGGGTGGATGCTCAGTAAGCATTTTTAGGAATGAATAATGATGGATCTTCATGGAAGGTACCTTGGGGTGTGGGAGCCTTCCGGATGCAGGTCCACACTCCCGGGCGTGTGCTGCCCCAGAGCTGGGCCGGGGGTGTCTGGTGTTGGAGTGGCACTTGCTTACCCAAAGGAACAGAGGACGTTGGACCAGAAGAAGGAGGGAGGCTGGAGGCCAAGACCCTGAAAGGGCATATGGAAGGTCGCCAAATCACCTGAACCAGAAACTGCTTCCGTTTGAGAGCGAAGGATGCCAGAGCAAGCACGAGCTCGGTGGGAGGAAGTGGAGTCTGGGGCTGGGAACGGTCACGTGGGGCAGGCTCTGTGGTTCCTAAGATGCTTCACGTGCTGGGCCGGGTGGGACAGGGGGCTGAGCCTGACTGTGACCAGGAAGGCCCCAGCATGCTGCATCCCCTCCCTCACGCTGTGCTGTCCAGAATGGCTGCCTGGCTGACGCCTGTGACGAGTCCACAGCGTGCGGGCCTTCTCGTTATCCCCTCCTCTCCGGACTTCACCCTGACCTGCTGGCTGCTGGCTGGAGTCGGGACGGCTCCGCTGCGGGCAGGAGCAAGCCAGCCGGGGCTGGGTCTGCCCAGTCTCCTGCTCACTTGGCCTCTGTCCCAGAACTGCATGGCTCTGGGGCGTCTTTGTTTTCTGTTAACTAGATGGGGACCAGGGAAGCAATGTCAGAACCAGCTGTGTCTGCACATTCTGGCACAGACAATGGCAAATATACCAGAGTGTCCCGTGTTCCCTCATTTGTACTTACCATTCAGGTCTAGGGATCTTCGGGGGCAGCCGCCACCTCCCTTCCCAGCTCAGCTGCTGATCCCCAGCCTTCCTCCCCACGTCCCTGCGCTCGGCCTCCCACCTGTAACGGGTGGGCGCAGCTGGCTTTCTCACCTGTCTGTGCCCGCAGAGCGCTGCCCTTGGCTCCTGCCTACATCCCGAGGCCAGTCTCTCTCTGTTCTGGTGCTGTAGTCTGCAGACTCGCAGCAACCCATTCACACAGGGATTGTTCCCTTGTGTACGTAACGAAACCGCAGCCTGGAGGAGGGAAGTGACATGTTCGAGGTCACACAGTAACTGGCAGGGTCAAGACTGAACTGAGACCTCCTCTGCCCCCTAAAGAGGCAGCACTTGTTAGGACGAGAGCAGAGCCAGTGGCAGCTCATCTTGTGGGTGTGAGGGGCGGTGGATGTGGCAGGACGTAGGAAGGTGGCGGCACGAGATCAGGGACTGTGGGGCTGGGCACGGGAGTGTCGGTGGAGAGCTCAGGCGAGGAGAGCATGGCTGGCAGAGGGCTGGGTCTCACTTTCCCCCAACTGGTGGCCCTAGCCCTGCGGAGTCCAAGAGGCTCGATCCCCAAGGCTCTGCTTTGTTATTCGCCCGCCCTGTCCGTTTGTTGAGCCCCCACTGGGCAGCCCGCAGCACAGGGAGCCGTGATGAGGGTGGACGCTGCTCTGGTGACAATGACAAGCTGTCCTGTGTGTGCTCTGGGGGAGCGAGTGCCAGGACACATCCCTCTCCTCTCTGGGCCTCAGGCTCCCTAAGCAGAGCGGGCTGGAGCACACACCTTTTCCGCCTGACTGCAGGGCAGCTTCCCTCCCAAGACAGGCTCTTGCCAGATGCTGGTGCCACATTCACAGCGGTTTCTCTCATGGGAGCGGGACCAGCAGTCACCACTCTGTCGTGTTCCTCTAACCAAGCCGCCCTGGCAAGGGCCCAGCACTGCCTAGAGCCTGTGACAATCCCTGGTTTTGGGGGCCTGTGATAGTTAATTTTATGTGTCAATTTGACTGGGCCACGGTGCCCAGATATGTGATCAAACATTACTCTGGATGCCTCTGTGAGGGTGTTCTCGGATGAGATCAATATTTAAGTTGGTAGACTCTGAGCGAAGCAGACGCAGCCGCGTTCCACCTGACATGGGCGGGCCTCGTCCCGTCAGTTGAAGGCCTGAAAAGAGCGACCTCCCCCGAGCAGGAGGAACTCCGCTAGCGGAAGGTCCCAGGTCCTCAGGCCAAACTGTGGCATTGGCTCCTCCCTGGGTCTCCAGCTGCCGTCTGCCCTGCCAAGTTTGGGCTTCTCAGGCTCCGTAGCTTCGTGAGCCAGTTCCCTAAAATGAATCTCCGTGTGTACATGCACACACCCCGTGGGCTCTGTTTCTCTGGAGAACCTGCTAGAACAGGTGCACCGGGGCGGGTTAGGGCAAGACTCGGGGCCTCTGTGCTGGCTGGAAGTTTAACTTCCTTTTCTAAGGTCATACAGGGCTGAGCCGACAATTAATCTGACTGGGAGCCCTTAGAAGGAGGACTCCGGTGCTAAAGCCTGCTGTGTGGCAGCCACACTGACGGACATGTTAATAACCCGCCCTCCGCCCGGCGTGAGGAAGGCAGGGCCGCGTGGCCCAGTGGAGAACGCACAAGAAAGGGCGACGGGGAGGGGAGTATTGCGTCCGGCTCTGCCCCCTTCCGCCGGTGGCCGTGGACATTCCTAACGACTCCTCGTTCTCCTTGCGCCTTCATTTGGAAAGTAGGTGTCACATCTTATTTGGGATGTTACATAAAATGAGCATAAAATAAAACGTGGAAATAGTTCGGAAAGTTTCAACCACACGTGACTTCGGGCACTGCACTTTTTAGGAAAGAGGGTGGGCAGTGGGCTGAGAGTCAGAGACTCTGAATCTTTTTATTAGTATATACCACGTGGCAATGGGAGCCCAGCAAGGACCCGAACAGGTGGTTGGGAGCCGTGTAGAGCCCCCAAAGGCCTTTCGCGTTTGGAGCCGATGCCGCCTTCTTCTCGGGGGCTCAGAAGTGACTGAGCAAACACTTGCCGTTAGCGGTTGAGAATCGGTGCACAAAGAGACCTCAATTTCAGGCATAAAACTAGGACTAGACGTAAGATGTGTTTTATAGCCAATAAAATCATTCCCACCCCCATCTTTCTCCCACCCAGTGAGAGTCTTTGAGCTTTAACAGGACCCTGGTGCTTTGCAGGCGTTGCGCTTGTTGGGACAAGACATGAAGAGGAGGTAAAAAGCAGACTTGTCTCTAAATTGGAATTGTGTTCTGAACATGGGTTTGGGGGACTTACAGAAGGGCTCGGGTGAGTATAAAAGCCTGCTTTCCCTGGGGAGGACTTTATTTTGGGTCAGAAACGCTCCTGTTTGCTTCTTTCATACTGACATTCTCAGGTGGTACCAAAAGCCACTCCTTCCAGGTAACATCTTAAATCATAGCAGCAGTAGTTTCAGGTATTTTGCAAATGGAGCGTATTTGTTTCCTAGGGCTGCCTTAACAAGTTACCACAAGCTAGGTGGCTTACACGTAGGAATTTATTCCCTCACAGTTCTGGAGGCTGGAAGTCTGACGTCAAGGAGATGGTGGGTGGGGCCATGCTCCCTCCAAGGCTCTAGGGAAGGGTCCTTCTTTGCCTCTTCCTAGCTAACGGTGGCTCCGGCAGTCCTTGGTGTCCTTGGCATAAAAGTGCAGCACTCCAGCTGCCCCCTCCATTGTCTTGTGCCTCCTCTGTGTGGCTCTGTGTGTCCTTTTCTATCTTTTATAAAGACACTGTCATTGGTGTTAGGGCCCTTAATCTAGTATGACCTCATCTTTTCTAATTATACCTGCAGAGACCCTATTTCTAAATAAGGTCACATGCTGAGGTTTTCCAGGTGGACATGAATTTTGGGGGTCACTATTCAACACACAGCATAGAGAAATCAAGGAATAGGATCTGCCCAAGGAGCTTCCTGTTCCATCTGTGGACATCTTGAGATGTGGTTATTTCCGTTACTGTCAACTCTCCTTCCCTGTTTTCCCTTTCACTTGACTTCTGTCTGTTTTACTTCAAATCTGCCAAAATATACAAAAATAAATAATAAACAGCCCTTCCCGTAAGGAAAGAAGTGAAAAGTGCTGGTTGTAGGTTTTAAAGTTTTTATGCCTTTATCTAAATCCCAGGCTGCTCTCACCACAATAGAGTTTCTCTGTGTCTTTGTAAAGCACAGGATACTTTAAAAAACCTTACTTGAGAAATTTTTAAGTGTTACAGTAGACAGAAGAATATAATCAACCCCATGTTCCCACTGCCAGCTTCAGCAATGACTGACTCCTGGCCAATCTCCTGTCACCTGTGGCTACTTCTTTTCCCTTGTATTATTTGGAAGCAAATCCACAGGAAGCTTTTGACATGGCGCATCGACTCACCTGTGCACTAACATCTCTATTCCATGTATTCTGTTTCAGATAATTGCTTTTGACGAGTTAAGGACGGATTTTAAGAGCCCCATTGACCAGTGCAACCCTGTTCATGCGGTAAGTAGTGGGTGCCGGTGACAGGAAGGTGATGCCGCCACAGGCTACCCAAGGCCTGGGAAGGAGGATGAGAATTTATTTGAATGAGTGCAACGAGTAAAGAACACATGCGCCCCACCGTGCCTCCTTCCTTAACTCAAGCTCGTGGAGGAGCTTGTTGTCCCTGAGGCCTGCGGAGGGCCTGACCTATCCTGCAAGTCAAATGTGACCATCCCAGTGACCCAGGGGAAGGGTCTGCTGTGCTGTGGCTGCTGAGTCCTCAAGTCCTGGTGCTCGTGTGTTTGGCTGCTTGTCCTCGAACAAGGAGAGAGGCCCCGTGTTTGCAGGCACGTGAGCACCGTGAGTGGTCTGCACTCTGCACTTGGAAACCGGGTTCCTCAGGTGGAGACTTGGAGGATGGGTGGATGTGCAAAGCTCCTAGGCCACATCCATCAGCCAGTCCGCAGCGAGGGTTCCTCTCAGGTGGTTCTGTGGGCCTGAGGTCTGCTCAGCTCCCCTGGGGAATCTGATGCGTCTGATTGTTCTGATCAGGGTTCAGGACGTGGAAGACCATCTGCCCCGGCACACACGGCTCCCAGCGTCTTCCAGCTCGTCTGGCTTGGCGGGCCTTGTATGCTGCCCTTCCTGTCCGCCCAGCCGCACATCTGATTGGGAGCTTCTGAATGGATGTTGGGCGGGGGCGGGAACGGGTGTGTTGGCTCTTCGCTTCTCTGGTCTGTGCAGCAGATGTCCCAGAGCCAGGGACCAACCACGCGTGTGGACAGATGCTTTTCCAAACTTACTCCAGACCAGTACTACTGGGTTCAAAGGTGGAGCACACACGGTTCGTTCAAGTGTGTTTCTCAATCCAAATCCACTGGTTCTGTGTTTAATTCAAGTTCCTTCCGGGCGTGGTCCCCAGTGCTGAGGCAAGCTTTTGTCTGTCTGAGTGGCTTTGCTGATCTTTTCAGTCAGAAGTTGTAGCGAGAACACCAGGCTCTGCTAGCATGATACCATTTTAATCTGGGAGGTTTATGGCATCATTGTTTAGTAACAGGGACAAAGAGGTCTCTTCTCCTTAGCTGCAGGCCCCCTGAAGAAGGATATGCTTTTAGAGAGGTACCAAAAGACCACATGGTGGAACCCAGTGTCCCTTCTGTAAAGTAGAGGGTGGTTATTGAAGTTGTATTTTCTTTTTTGGTTTTTACTATGTGCTAGGAACTTTACATACACAATCTGCAGTCCTCGGAACTCTGCAAGACAGGCATTGTTAACCCAATTTACACACCACAGAACTGGCTCTTTTGCCCAGGGACCCATAGCTCCTGAGTGGTGGAGTTAGGACTTGAAGCCAGGTGTGTCTGTCTCCAGAGCCTGAGTTTGTTCCCCCCATTCTATGTTGTCTCTTTAAAAGTCTTGATTTTATAATATCCAAGGACCCTTTGGCCTCACGTTCTTTGATCCTGTGGAATAGAGCCAAACCCTTTCAAAGTAAACCGTGTAAAGCAATTTTTGTTGCAAGGTGAAAGACCCCTAAAACCCACTTGAAAACTTACTGTATTTCATGAAACGTATAATTATTAAAATCCATTTTGTTTCCGTCTACCAGCCTCACCATCCCCCTGTGACAACTTGGATCTGTCAGGCCTGAAAGGGTTTCACCCCAAGCCTCAGATCTTTCTGGATGTTTCTGGGTTTGGCACCAGCATTATACACCTGGCTCGTCAGTGCCTACCAGGTGCATGGAGCGACTCAAGAGCCACTTTCCTTCCTCCTAATTGTTTGGGCTCAAATTAAAGAATTAAAAAGCAGCTCACTTAGAACACTCAGAGCTTTCTTGTATGGTTCCAGGGCAAATGCCAGCGAAGAAATTTGTCCTGCCCTCGATTCTGTCACACAGGTTCCTGCTGGGCTGCACGTCATTGGAGAAACCTCGAGACGTTTTTGTGGAGCCCCATTCCACCTCGTCGTCGCAAGTCCCTTAACTGAGACAGAATAAAAAAAATTAGGACCAGCATAAGCTCCCTGGGGAGCATCTGCGAAAGGCCAGTGTAAGAACAGAACTTACACACAGTAGGTGCTCAGTACGCATTGATGAAAGAATGAATGAGAATTGAAACGTGAAGTCCAGACATTTCATGGACAGACTAAAGCCTCTAGATGCACCTGGGAAAATGATTCTTGTCTGGGATTAAAAAGAAAAACAAAAACACGGCCGGGCATGGTGGCTCACGCCTGTAATCCTAGCACTCTGGGAGGCCAAGGTGGGTGGATCGCTTAAGGTCAGGAGTTCGAGACCAGCCTAAGCAAGAGCGAGACCCCGTCTCTACTAAAATATAGAAAGAAATGATCTGGAGAACTAAAAATATATATATAAAAAAAAATTAGCCGGGCATGGTGGCGCATGCCTGTAGTCCCAGCTACTCGGGAGGCTGAGGCAGAAGGATCGCTTGAACCCAGGAGTTTGAGGTTGCTGTGAGCTAGGCTGATGCCATGGCACTCTAGCCCGGGCAACAGAGCAAGACTCTGTCTCAAAAAAAAAAAAAAAAAAAACAACACAACATCAAATACCTAAATGGAGGAGTATTAGACACATTTTTCCAGCTCTTACAATGTTACTCCCTGGCAGGAAGTTAAACGCTTTGGATGCCTCACTGGACTCATCTTCAAGCTCTTTAGGTCTCTGTAGAGCACCCCCGAGCGGCATTTCAGGCTCAGGTGGCTTGAAGAAGCTACTTGGCTGGTTAGTGGCTCCGGCGCTGGAAGGGCTTCGTTACAAATAATTGCTCACCCGTGTGCTGCAGTTCTCAATGGGAGCATGAGGCCCGTTTGGATTTAAGATGCCCTAAAGCTCCAAATATTGTTGGACCCTCTGGGATGGAAAGGAAAAGAAACGCTCTCTTTCACTCCTTATTTCTCATGTTTTCCCTTCCTTTTACCAGCTAAGCATTCAGTATCCCTTAAAGTAATGGGAGGTGTTATCCTTTAGAGGCTCTTACTTGCTGGAGAAAGGAGAGAATGTGTTTTATAGCACCCTCTTTCATTTGCGCATGTGTGCACATGCTTGTGTGTGCGTGCACGGACACACACATGTTGAGGAGGACACGATGTATCTTCCTGGCCATGTGGACGCTAATTTGTCCTGATGTGGGTTCCTTCCTCTGGGCTTACAGGATGCACAGGAATCACTATATTCATGATTTAATTAGGGAAATGAAGTGTCCCAGCCACCTGGCCTCTCTGAATCCATGAGGAATGTTATTACCATTCCATCTACAGCAACCAAATTGCCTCGGTAATGAAGCACTGGGAGATGCCACAGCTGTGCTCAATGTGTCTTTGGAAGTTGTTAAAGTCGCTGAAAAGAAAGGGAGCCAACAGCATTTAGTGCCTGGTGTGGGCATCTTCCCTTGGCAGCGAGCCAGATCTCAGAGACAGGCTTGGACTTCGTGAAAAGTCTTAGCCTGGAGCGCTGTTGGTGTCTAATTTAGCAGGGAGATTGCTTCCTCCAAGTACACTTGCTTTAGAAAAATAAAACCAACGGGCAGAGAACTTGTGTACCGTAGGCACTAATGAGGGCGCATATGCTCTTCAAGACTCAAGTGGGGAATCCCCTTGGGAGAGCTGGCCACAGGCTTTAGGATGTTCAGTGAATACAATGTGCCCATTCTGCACTTTGACCACCTTATGTGTACGTGGAGGCTGAGAGAGACCGTAGGAAAAAGAATAGAAACCTGTGCTGGGCTGAGAGGGAGGCTGGGCCCATGCTGTTTGCTGGGAGAGTTCTTTTAAGAGCAAATGACTTAAAGTCTGGTAAACTGATACCTCCCAGTTTGTTCTTTTTACTTAAGATTGCTTTGGCTATACGAGGTCTTTTCTGGTTCCATACAAAGCGTAGAATTATTTTTTCCAGATCTGTGAAGAATGATAATGGGATTTTGATAGGAATTGCATTAATTCTGTAGATCACTTTAGATAGTATGGACATTTTAACGATATTGATTCTACCAATCCATGAGCAAGGTAGGTTTTTCCATCTGTTTACATCTTCTACAGTTTCTTTTTTTAGTGTTTCGTAGTTCTCCCTGTATAAGTCTCGTACATCTTTTGTTAAATATATTCCTAGATATTTAATTTTCTTTGAGGCTATTGTAAAAGGAATTGCATTTTTGGTTTGATCTTCTGCTTGATTGTTGTTGGCATATATGAATGCCTCAGATTTGTGTGAATTGATTTTGTAGCCTGAGACATTCCTGAATTCATTTATCAGTTCTAGGAGTCTCTTAGATGAGTC